ACAATTTTTCGCAGCATTAAGCTCCGCCCTTTAAAGCTGTCACTTCTGTGCATTCCGATTGGTTAAATTGGCACTCGTAACGGAACTGTATGCCGGATGTACTTTTGCTGTCAGCTGCCAGTAATTCAAATTGGATTTGACAACTTCATTCTTCTTTCTTCTTGCACTTTCTGATCTGTTATAGCAAAGGATACACATCTCATTTACGTGTGTTGATAAAAAGATTCAGAAATGTTGAAAATAAATATTTGAAATGAAACGTAAAAATTAATTAGGATTAATTCATTTAATTTTTTGTTTATTTTGATTTTTAAATAAATGAATATACAGGGTGGCTCACGCTCAACGGGACGGAGCTTTATGGGAAAACGACCAAAGATATAAAAAATTCGTTTGGGAGGAATACGTAGGTTACAGACGGCTACAATTTAAAATTTGTTAGATGTATACAGGATGTCCCACATAAGAGAAAATATACAAAGTTATATTATTTTTAATGGAACACCCTGTTTTTTATTTTAGAATTAAAAACTACATCAAAAATAATGTCAGTTAACTAAAGGTTCCCTATTACTATTATTATTAGTTTTCGATTTATTTGAATTTTTAAGGAAAAAAAGTCTCCCAGAAATTAATTGTTTACTCTTGTTTGAATAATTTTTAATGAACTAATTTTTTTTTCTTATGTGGGACATCCTGTATACATCTAACAAATTTTAAATTGTAGCCGTCTATAACCTACGTATTCCTCCCAAACGAATTTTTTATATCTTTGGTCGTTTTCCCATAAAGCTCCGTCCCGTTGAGCGTGAGCCACCCTGTATAGTGATTTTGTTATTAGCATACCTACTTGTAGGATGTAGTGACATTTTATTTCTGTTTCTTACTGAACTTTGGATAGGAAAAATTTATTTGATAAATTAGTTTTAAGTTGTATATTGTACTTATTTAAATTACGTCTGTTATAATTTCGATATTTTGAACGAATTTAAATTGCAGTGGCGTACTTATAATATTTTATTTTAATTATTAGATTTAGGAATTGGGTTTGATTATCTAAAGTTTTGAAGCACTTCAGTTTATTAGTGGGTATTTTTTTGTTTTCTTTTTTTAGGAAAGAGAGATGATTAGCTTAAATTAATTTCTATATTTATTTATTTATTTAATAGGTATGTAAAATTAAAGTTAAGATGGAAGTAACATACTTCTTAAGGATGAATTAGCTTATGAAGTACTCATTCGAAGGCAACCTCAGGCTAAAGAAAAATTAGTATCGGAGTTAAGGAAACATCTTAGGGAAATTTTAAGAAAACAAATCTTTAATAAATAGTGAGATAGTATTGTAGTAGCAGATGAATCAGAATATGTTATGAAAAAATAAGAAAACTGAAGAATTAGGAGAATTGGCTTTTCTAAAGTTATAAACTTTTTGAGTAGCAATAAACCTAAACTTTGATTATTTTTCAAAAACATCGTTAATAAAAATTGATAGTGCAGGATGATGAGCATCCTCACTTAATAAGGGTGATTCATCCCTACTCACATTACAATCAAAATGAAAAATAACTGGTGGGTGGCTTAGTGGTAAAGTCTCTGCCTGTGGATCCAAAGGTCGAATCCCACCGTTGGCCGGGATTTTTTTATTTAATTTAATTATTTAAAATTAATTCCCCACTCGACCATTCACTGTTTCGTTCTAATTAACAGTGCTATTCTTAAAGTGGAGCTGAGAAAGAGCAACAAAGCCTACACAAACCACGAGGTGAAATAACCTTAGCAGTTGAAGCCGATGACACATAAAAAAAAACTAAATCAAGCAATCTGTCTAACTGATTTAAAGTGTAGTTCAATTGCCGAAAATTAAATCGATTTAAAAAATTTAATAGTAATAATGATTTACTATCATTAGGATTATTTTTGATGGATTTTGGAGCATTAAAATCACCTAAAAAAATACAATCTTTATTTAAATAGTCAAGTTGTTCCAAGCGTTCAAAGAAGGATTCAAATTCATCTCTACTTAGATAATCAGGTACATATATGACTAACACATAAACTTTTTTGTAACCTATTTGACATTTAACAACTAATAAATCTATTAATGGAAACTGTAATTCCAATGATGTTGTGTCGATGACTTCTGATTTTATAAATTCTTTTAATTCCAATAACATACCACCTCCACGATCCTTACCAACTTGTTGAAATTCTCGATCCTTTCTATGTTGTAACGGTTGGAACCGTTTTCGTTATTTTGACACAAACATCTCTACTCAAATGTAATTTTTCGTCTTCTTCTTTTTTATTTGTTTTGCGAGAATTACTTTTGATTTGGATGTTAACGAATCAAGTTGATTTTGATTTTTAATTATCTTGGACATCAGATGTACTAATTGTCTTTTAATATTCTTATTGGCCGTCTGATTTTGTAAGGTAAGTTTGAATACCGATATATTGTTGAAAATATATATTTTGTACAAAGATTTCTTAATTAAAATGTCAAATATTGTACATAACCTCAACAAATGAATAACACACAGGATAACACGTTTTATATATTCTTATATATTATTTTGTTTGGAATGAGATATTATGCTTTACTATTTTTAAATATGTTAAATAAGATTTTTCCTTTCCATATTAATTTTGGTCTCTGTGAAATTATTCACTTATTCTTCAATTATTAGTTAAAAGCATTTGATCTGGTTCCTGTGCAAATTTCCTATTTCCTTTCTTAATATTTTTACCTTTTTCCTTTTAGCCTGGCTATATCTAGACGGTTTAGTTCAAGCTGTATCTAAGAAGTTTAGTACGAGTTATCTTTAAAGAAGTTTATTTCGAGTTATATCAAGAGGTTTATTTCGAGTTATATCAAGAGGTTTATTTCGAGTTATATCAAGAAGTTTATTTCAAGTTATATGTAAAACAGTTTCTGGAGATTTAAGTTTATGAAGATTTATACCTAAGAGTTTGGTGGTATCCGAAGAATATCATTTAAGTCCCTTTGAAGAAGGCCTAATATACCATACAAATCACCCTAATATAACTACCTCCTGTTATATCAGATAGGTTTTTATTTTTTCAATGAATCATCTAAATTTAAATTAAGTAAATCTTTGTGAATTAGAATTTGTTACTGCCTTATCTAAAACTTGGTTTAAATATAATATCTTAATGGTTAGTGATTTTCTATATTTTTATCACTAATCTATAGTCAAGTTTAATAAGTTTTAAATATAGTGGTGCCCAACTTCTTTTTTAAGGTAATACGAGCTATTCAATAGCCTGACCCAGTACTAAAATCAATTGAGCTTAAAACACGATAACAAATAGATAAAATAACAAGTATTACGTTACAATGTATAATGTAACAGTTCGGAAATGGTTCAGCACTTAAAACATCACAATTTAACCATTTTTCACTTAGCGCTACTAAGTCATACTCAGAATCACTGACTGCCACATAAAAACTATATACTTTGCTATTTAATCCTCGTACATTTTGATAGTAACAGGAAAATTCGTGGCTGATATTACTAGAGTGGGAACTATTGGACTTATTTAGTTTAAAGATTTAATTATTTTGATGTACCATTAAAATATTTAATTATAAATTTTTCATTACCTCCACTATTTTTTTGATCTAATTCGGTACGAAGTTTTTTGATCTAATTCGGTACGAAGTTTTTTGAAATGAGACATTTGCCTTGGAGTTCGATCAAAGGTTATAGAAATTTTCTTGTAAGCACTGTTTTTCAATTTTTTTGCTCTTTTGACCAGATTCCTTACTTGTTCTTCATCTTGCAAAATGACTTTAATAGGGCGTATTTTATTATCGTAGAAATAACCAACTCTAAAAGACTTTATACTTGAATGGTTGAAATTCGAATCAATAACTTTTATAATGTTTACTATTTCGGATCTATTAATTTCTGATTTAGATTGAGGTAGTAACGTATACGTACACGTAAGCACAATATTTAAATATTTAGTTTTTTTATACATTTTGTTGTTTCGTTGCAATATTAAAGTCCAGCGTACCATTACTCACCCCCTTCCAAAATATCGGAACCATAAAGTGTCAGTGACATCTTCGTTACTTGGAAAAATTATGGCTGACGGCAAGCCGACAGGGAGAATGTTAACTAAAGGTAAGTATCAACGGAGAAATCACATTTCATCCGATACCTAAAAATAAAAAAAAAATCTGAACCGGAACAATAAAAATCGGATGACAACAGTAGCACATTAAAATAAATGTACTGATCTACTAGATGGCTGATAAGGCGGAGCTGTGGCTTTATAGCATCATATGTTATCATTGACATTGGCAATCAATTTTCGGCGGCTCGTTTGGAAGCACTAATGAAAAAAATCTACCGAGAATATTTTGAATATCAAGATTTTACTTAAATTTTACATATTGCCTAATTTAATGACCAGCCGTTTAGAATGACACTGTATTTTATTCGACTGTAATTCTAGAATATTATTAGAAAATGAAATCGTTATAGTCATTTATATACCAACGGTATCAAGTCGACGTTTATGCCCTAAGGGCATATAAGTTATACTAGTTCGTTATTGCATTCATACAATAAAAAATATCGAGAAAAAAACGTAAATGCTCATATAATAATTATTTTTTGTTGTTGTCATTGATTATTCACCTTGTAGTATGCATTGTTTATACTAACTCGTACAAATCACAAAGATAAAACAAAAAAAGTAAAACGTTATCACTGTATGACTAATATACCCTGGAATAGCCGATATTTTTATTCATTGCATTGATTTGTGCCGACTCGTACAGAAATATCTATTTTATTAGTTGAGTTATATAAAGTGAAAGAATTTTTGTATGAAAATGCCCAAAAGACGGAGAATAATATTCATCTAGTGATTCTTCGGAAGATGAAAGCCGATATACATCAAAGTTTAGTAAGAAAAAGCGGAAGAGAAATGGAAAATATGACATTTAATTAAAACAGTTAAAAGAAATGGAACGTAAACTTAAATCTATGACAGAATCAGAATCAACGAGTGAGGTAGAAGGCATAAAAAGTTTATCAGGTGAGTAAATTTATTAAAAAATGGTTTTGGTTGGTTTCAATTTTCAAATTCGTAGACGATTTTCTCTGTTAGTAGTACATTACTTTAAAGCTAAATGAGGTACGGTCGACTTTAGGTCCAGTAAAATTTTAAAGAAATTTATTTTTTATCAGGAATAGCGTATTTTAAATAGTACATTAAAAAAAATTGCTGTAAATGCATTATTTAAGCCAAAAAAAATATTTAATTTCTATGGCGAAGCCGCCACCCTACGATAAGTCGTAGAGTGGCGGCTTCGCCGCCACCAAAAAACATTAACCCATACCTGGCTACGCCGACCGGCATAGACTCCAACGGCCTGAACACAGCTCAAATTGAATAATTGAAATGAAAAGTCTCATATAAACACATTTATATTCTGGTTTTATCATTTGGCTTGGAGCTATTAAAAAAACAGCCACTGTCATTCCTGTTATGTACGTTTTTTTACTTTGTTTGACAACTCCACATTTATAGAAATAAAAATATCAGTTGTCATATTATTCATAAAAAATAATATAGAACGGTATTACCCTATGGTATTACCATGAATATATTTATAACAAAAAGCAATTGGCAACATCGCTAAAACCACGCACAGGCGCTCTTAGTGTTACTGTCAAATCGAAAAAATTAAAAACAATATGGCTACGTGAGAATTTAGTGAATAAATGCATATTCTTAATTTTTTAGCTTACAAATGTGTTTTAATAATATTTGTTACTTTAATTAGGTTAGTGCACACTTATAGAAGATTAAAAAGTGTAAAAATATTATGGTTTTACTTAATCTTTATGGAAAAAGTGACAAAATTACTGGACCTAATATCGACCGTAGCCGCCAAAAAATGTTGAGTTATTACCTAACCGGTTTAATTCATACAATTAGTGTGAGAACTTTACATTATAGAAAGCCAAAAGTTAGACGATTGCCTAATCGGTTTTCATTTAGTTAAAAAATTCATACAATTAGTATGAAAATAGAAAATAGTTTTGGACAATTGTCTAAAAATATATATTTTTTATATTAATGAGACAAATGCATTTCATAAATTTCGATGCTTTTGTCTTTTCAGAAGAAAGAATGCCGGCAATAGAGGAAAATATCGATAATCGAGTTATGGAAGCTTTGGGAAAAAATCCAACTTCATCAAAGAAAGAAGGGGATGAAGTACACGAAGAGATGGCTGTAAGGTGGAAAAATTATTTAGTTGAAGGTATTCATAAAGAGGTGAGGGAGCAGTTAGTTCAAAAATATCCCAAAAATTGTACCAATTTAAAACCATCAACTTTAAATCCGGAAATTGAAGATTTTGTGCTTTCTCAAATTCAATCGTAGCTAGCTCCTGACCTTGCAGCCCTAGCTCAAGTTATGTCTAGGTCGATAAAAAATTCCAGTGAACTAGATACAGAAATGCTGACTCAGCTTAAGAATCAGGCCAAATATTGTGTAATGTTCATAATTATATATCAAAACATCGAAGACAGGCAGTAAAACCTAATCTAAAATCGGATATTACAAAGAGTACTGAAAATTGTCCTATCGATGATTTCTTGTTTGGCAAAAATCTGAACGATTCGGTCAAAGCATCTCAGGCCCTGAAAAAAGTTGAACTGGAAATTTAAAAGGTCACAGGATCAATGACTCATTACCCATACCAGGATTCGAAACCGGGAACATCTGACATTCGAAAACCGAAGGAACAACAGCGTTTTTTATACAGAAAACACCAGTACAAAATGAAAAAGAAAGAATACGAAACGTAACGTCGGAAAACGTATCAGGAGATACGTCAAGGGAGCAAGCCGAGTAGCTACAGGAAACAGTAAACAAGGTTGGTAAAAAATATGTAAGTTCACTTCAAAAATTTTTGATACAATGGACCCTACTAACTAGTAATGCTAAATTATTGAGTTAGGAGGAATAGTCATTCCTTTTGAAAAATTTCCCTTTCAATTAAATAAACCGGTAGTGAAGCAGTATCGGTTTGCCCGTAAGGGCACTTGAGCACGTGCCCTAGTATAATAAAAAAAAACTAACTTACATTTTATATTTTCCTCAATGCCTATTATTATTATTTTATCTAATATTCAGCGCAAACCGCGTTGGCACGACACTGGACGACCAGGCGTTGACCGATTTTCCGAAGATGGGCACAGGGCACAGTAAATGTGTGCCTCTGTTGTTTTCTCTCTCATTATGATGCGAAAAACAAGAACAACGACAATATCGCTTAGCAAGAGATGAACACATGCGATGGATTATACGTCACAAGCAGGGCGCTGTCCCATATTAACCTACACCAGATCCAGATACGAATGTACGTGGCGGCAATAGCCTAGAGCTCCCACCACTTTCTTACTAGATCCAGCGGAAAAAATAGTACGGACGATTGCGTTGGCTCCAGTTTCAGCAGAGCTTGTGACCGTTGAATGTTTAGTCCGACCGCCTAGGTTACAAAACATCGCCGAACTTGTGACTTTGTGAAATTTATTATGACGGGATATAAATTTGTAGATGTTGTACATCTGAAAATAGAGAAGGGACAAAATTTTAATTTTTGTTTTGGTTTTGTCTGACTTTTTCGAGGATTTCAAATCTCTGTTTGCATATTTAAGAGTATAAAAAATTCTGAGTCTTATAAATAATTTAATGGTGTACATTTTCGCAAATTGTTGGCAAGGATGACCAAATTCTATTTTGCTCATCTCAAGAAGCTATGCGTTGGAAATTCCAGGCTTAGTTGACAAACTATCAAATAGAGATATTAATATTTTTTTCTAATTTGAAAATATAAAAGAGAAATTTTTCGCTGGGAGATTTTAAATTGCCAAACACATTTTCTTCAGAGTCGTATGCTTTAAAATGCGTTGAAAAGTTAGAATTGTTAAGTAAATTGCATTCTTCTGAGAAATTTACGCAAATTTCGCAAGAGTGGATATGTAATGATTTTTTGATTAAATAGCCACATGCATAGTTAAATGCATTTTAATTGGTCACTTTTAGCTCCCTGTAGTCACATTCAGAAATCGTTATTGCCCCCAACTGATTGTTTTGAAATATATTTAATTTTCATTAAGCGGAGAACTTGTTTACCTAAGGGAAAAAGGAGTCCCGGGATTCCTTTCCAGTGTGTGCCCCACTGCCGCTAGTGCCCACGAGCCGCCACTGTAGTGAAGATTGAACAAACTGAAAAACATTTTTATGTGACCGCAATAAATGAGTTATTAGAAATTGGTGCTATCAAAACTTGTAATCATAAAAAAGGCGAATTTTTGTCATCGTATTTTTTAGTTAAAAAGCCTAGTGGTAAATTTAGATTTATTTTAAATCTGAAAAATTTTAATACATGTTTTACTCCTCCCACTTAAAGCTGGGGGATTACAGAACAGCCCTAAAGTTAATTACAAAATATTGCTGGTTTATTAGAATTGATTTTAAAGATGCTTATTTTTCTTTATCAATTGTAAATAAACATATTTAAGATTTGAATTTGATAGTAGGTAAGCTGTATGAGTTTAATTGTTTACCAATGGGACTCAATATTGCACCATATATATTCACTAAAATAATGAAACCGGTATTAGTTTATCTTCGAAAACGAGGTATTGTTTGTACTTCATATCTTGATGATTTTTTGTTTATGGGCGATGTTTTAACAGCTACAAAGTTGTTAGAAAATTTAGATAAATATTAAAAAAGTCAGTTTTTTTCTTTACAAGAAATTATTTATCTAGGTTTTTAATTTAACAGTTCAGATATGAATATATATTTACCCCAAAAAAGAATAGAAAACATAAAAGAATTCGGGAAAAAGAATGTTGTTAAAATTCGAAACTTTGCAAAATTAATTGGTAGTTTAGTGGCAATTTGTCCTGCAACGAAATATGGTTGGATGTATTTAAAACGTTTAGAAAGAGCTAAAGTCAAAGCTTTGTATAAAAGTGAGGGTGATTATGACTCTCTTATGAGTACTTTTTATGAAGAATGGCAAGATTTATATTGGTGAATAAAAAACATAAATTTACAGAAACAAAACATGATTTAAATTATGAGAGCTTTGGTTTCTGCAACCGGATGGTCCAGGATTGTCAAAAACATTTGCTATATCAACAATAATTTCTTCTAAATTCATTGATTCTTAAAATTAGATATGTGGAAAGTCTGGATCTTGGTATTCGTTATCGGATAATGTGTCGTCATTCGGGCAATCAAAGTAAGTTTCTAACGGTGCTCCGGATCCATTACTTTGGGAATAAAACTGGATGCTTTTATAACGACTAATTTGATTTTCCGTTTTCATAAAAATATTTCACTTAAATCCACTCAGGTTTTTTGTTTTTTTCACGAATTAGTGAATTACACTCGTCCAGTTCAATTGGTAGCGACGTTTTCTTGAAAAATAAACTCTATTTCAGAACTGCAATCGACCGACGCCGAGCGACGGTTCGATATAACCCAAAACAGACCCTTAGGTATTATCTAAATGGCCTATTTTAATTTCAATTTCTATATTTCTTACGATCCCTATAAGTAGCATTCCCTGAACAAACCTCCCCCACAGAAACTACAAACTTAACTTATTTGCAGATTTTATTTTAGTTAGTTAAGTTTAAACTCAATTTACTCGAAATAGTTTAATTGGTACTTATACGCTTTGTATTTTAACCCTTTCATTATATTACACTTACTATCAAATGACCTGTATACATTTCGAGAACTTTCGTGAAGTCTTAAATAGGTCTAGTAATAATGAGACCCCCTCACAAGAATCATTAAAAGTTACATTTCTGATAAACGGTCCGCAAAAAATATTAAACTTTCCCATTACGTACAACAGGGATATTAAAAACCAACAAACCCCAGGAAATAATTACTTATTCTTATCGAACAATAACATCTATGTATCCGAAAATTACGTCTAATCTAGTTTTTGATGAATTCTACAGAAAATCTCATTTGAACAAGTTTTAATGTAAAACCTATATGTATGCTAATTTACTAATTTTAAAAACACTTTTTCTTCAATTCATTTTTAATTATAGCAGCAACCCCGGCGAGCCGAATTTACATAATTAAAAGGAATATGGTGTTCAAAATTGTTGTAGGAAAAAAATTATCTTGAAATCTACAATGTACGGCAATAAAGTTACATGTACATACGTGATTCAGCAATAATTAATACTACCTTAGTAGAATGGTGGGTGTTAACAAGAAACTAGGAATATTATTAAAATTTTACATAATTTCTAACGTTACCCATGTAATGGTTAGAGAACATAACACCTGTTACTTAAAATTTATTGGTAAGGCGTTTAAATTTACTGAATAGGCAATTAGTTAAAATACTACTGAAATGTCTAAGACCTCAATCTTTTTTTGCATACAAATTAACGTTTAGTAAAAAAAACTGACTGGTACAGTGAATCAAATGAATAATTCTATTTCAAGAAATATATAAAAATAATTTAATTTTAATTCTATAAAAAAATTAATTTTATAATAACTAAAAACTGCAAATAATAAATGAACGGCATATGCCGGCAAAAATGTAAAGTGTCCCAGCAGATAGCATAGACAACAATGGCCATAACATTGCTTATGTTATCAAAGATCTTAGTAATATTAAAATATCTTTCAAAAATGTTAATTCATAAGTACAAAAAAGATGAAATTGATTTTCTAGACAATAATGGCATATATAGACATTGGTGTAACAATTGCAACACTTCCAGTATTGGTAAAAATGTTAATAATCCCACTTCATAAAGGTGGCGACAAAACCAAAACCTGTAACTATAGACCTATCGCGTTATTGTATACCTTATCGAAGATAGTAGAACGGCTAATGAAAAACCGTCTTTTGCCCTTTCTTTTCAAGCATAACATCCTCACAGCTCATCAGTATGGCTTTCTACCTAAAAAATGCACTAGCGACGCAATGTTTTCCGTTCTTAATGAAATATACACATCACTTAATGATAAACTTTTCACCGCTTCAGTATTTTGTGACTTCGCAAAGGCCTTCGATTGTGTAAATCATGATATTTTAATTAATAAGTTTCAAATTTATGGCATACGGGGTTCTCCTTTACAATGGTTTAAAACTTACCTAGAAAATAGAAATCAACAGGTGCGGGCGAATGGTGAGGATTCTACAAATCTAGCAATAAGCAGTGGAGTACCTCAAGGATCAGTATTAGGTCCAATTTTGTTTTTATTATTCATCAACGACATCACAGACTTAAGAATAAGTGATAGAATTACTTAATTTGCTGATGACACCAGTGTAACCTGGAATAATTCTAACATGCAGACATTACAATCTATCATAAGTG